AAATATATAATCTCGCGTAAAAACTTGGCGGGTAACTTTCATCAAATGCCATTTGATTTTATTCAAATCATTTTTTGATAAGAGCATTATGGAAAACCGAATGGCTTACGAGATTAAACTTTTTCTAACTGTTTTTATTTTTATTTATTTGTTTTTTTTTATATGTTTGAAATGTTAACCAAAGCTTTACTAGACAAAGGTTCTTAAGTGTAGAGATTCTTTAATGCAGGGTATTCGAAAACGGAATCCGAATTTCGAATTTCGAAATTCAAATATGTGTGGGTAAACAAAAACGGAAGTGCCTGTAGTTGTTGTTATTGTATTATGCGATAAAAAGCCGGTCGGTCAGCGCGAAACCAAATCTCGAAACAGCAAACGGCGTAAGGCAAGGCAAATTAACAACAACAAACGGAAAAGAGTGTGTGCTTAAAAATACTTTTAAAAATATACAACTTACATCACACATTCACAAAAACAACAACAACAACAACAGAAGCAAAAACGGCAGAAAGTGCAATTTGGCTACGGCTGCTGTGAGTGAATATTTTGTTGTTGCTTTTTGTCACTGTTACTGCAACTGTTAGTGTTAGTGTTATTGTTGTTGCTGTTGCTGTTGTTGTTGCTGTTACTGTTGCTGACGCTGTTACAAGTTTGAAATTTGATTTCTTTTGATTTTGCTTTTGTTTGATATTTTGCTTCATTCTCTTTTTTTATCTTTATTATTTTTTGGGTGAAAATAAAAGAAATTTGGAGTAGAAAACGCGCGCCCCAAATTAAGCAGACGATCGTCTGTTGTTGTTGTTGTTGTTGCTGCGGGCCTCATGAATGAATTGCGCGATTAAAAACACAAAAGGCGTGACGCGTCGCGCAACAAAAACAGAGACAGCAACAGCAGTGACAGCAACAACAACAACAACAACAACAACAACAGCCAATGGCAACTAAATAACGAAACGAGTTTGCTGGCTGTGGCTTTGGCTTTGAAAAAAGATAAGCGCAGAATATGTAGGAGAAAGAAAAAGAAACGAACGCAGGCTTCAAAATTTAACACCAAAAATGCTTAAAACGGGCCGACGCAACAACAACAAATGACGAGCATAGGCCTGCACACACACACACACAGCCAAGCACATACAAATGCACACAATTGCTCAAATGCACACACAAGCGCACATGCACAGACACATAGCAGACAGCTGATTTTTGGCCGCAACTACAATAAATGCTTCTTGCTCTCTTCTTGCCAATTAAAATTGGTTTATTTAGGTGACTCGCACACACACACACACACACATACAATAAATTCACACAAACGCAAACAAACTCACACACAACACATGCACATGCACGCACACACTGTTAGGCTGGCTGGCCGCACGCCTCGTACATTAATATTGTGTGTTACACTTGTTTTTGTTACTGTGATTGCGATTAGCTTCTTGCATTCGGCTTTACGCAGGCTGCATTGTATTTGTATTCTACATTTAGCCTTTGACTTTTTACACACCTCGCACTCGCACAGCTTGGCACGCTTTGTTTTGTTTTGTTTATTTTTTTTTTATGATTTAAGTGTTATTTTGCGAAAATCTCATTGTTGGTTTCCAATTTCTTGTTTGGAGTTCTTATTGGCACGCGCGTGGCCACCCGCACGGTTGGAAACTTCTTTACACACTGTTAACAGCATGCTGTTAGCTGGCGAATTTTGCATTAACAGCTGTTGATACGTTTAGTATTTCTCCTTTCGGTATTTTTTAGCGCTACTGTTAACGATTTATTCTCTGAGCGTATGGCAGTTGGTTAACAGTTTGGGAGAGACTTTAAAATAGTTGTTTAATTATTATTTATGGTTTAAATAGTTTAAAAGAAGTTTAACGATATGAACAAACATATATTAATACAAGTTTAGTCTAACGAAATTAATATATATATTATTCAAATACCGGCAATTATATTTGTATTTTGGCTTCTGTTAATAACAGCGTTGCCACACCTTTAATTTTTTAAACTCATCCCGCTAACATTAATTTTTTGAAATTAAGTAAAGAATTATAGGAAACAGGAAATAAAGAAAAGTTATATCTAGTTTCTGATCTAGTAGCCCGAATCGTGTATTTACATTCTGTAGCTACCAAGCATTTTAATTTCACAATTTACCAACTCTATTTCGATTTGCATGCAACAGTTAAAAAAAAAGAACTCAAAAACAAAGAAAGCGTTTTTCAGAGTAGTTGCAGCCGACAATTACGGCATCAATCAAATGGCCTTAAATTCCTCACTGTCTAAGTGAACATAATAACGGCAGCCCACAGCTCTTAACTCCAAGTCCAAGTCCTGGTCCATGTTGAAGTCGTATCATTAGCCCACACTTCCTAAACCCTTCTCCACCCATCAGCTCATCCTGCAGCTGCCTACCAATCAATCAATCAATCAATCGCTCAGCATACTTTTTGCAACTTAACATTTCAATCGCACGCCAAAGTGGCCGCCGGCATGCAAATTTGCTGCCCCAGCCAAGAGCTGGTGACGATAATGATGACTGGTTCTGGTTCTGGTTAGCAAATGTTTGCCATCCAAAGTGCCAGAAAAGCCAGACATTAAGCGAAATGGATATGCTCTTTAAGTGGACCAGTTGGACAGGTGCAAACAGGCTTGAAAAATGATCAGCCAGATGCGATGTGTTCGATGATAAAACGAATTCATTTAAACTTCTCAATAATTGAGTTCATTTCAGTTGTAGTCCTTCAAATGAGCTAAGGTCCTTTTTTGTGGAAACTGAACGTCCATAGGGAAAAGCAATTGTTTTCACAATAATTAGCTGGCGTTAAGCGCCAGAAGGTTCCAAGCATCCGAAAATCCGGAATTTCAATTAAAGTCATCGCCACCTGCAGACACCTGCTGGCAATTAATAAGCCAACAGGCTACAAAGGCAGGTATGTTACTTATTAGACATGCCGATAATTAAATACCCTTCCCAGATTTGATAGCCAAATATATCTATGTGCATTATCAATACTCTAAAGCAATCTTCCTAATAGTATATTTTAATGAAGTAAAAGAAAAAATAAATGTTTAATAAAATTATAAGACAATAATAATAAAAGATAAAAACAATATTCTATAAGGCATTTTATTGCTAATTCAAGATAGCCTGGACGCTGCTAGCCCTGATTAAATTTTATATAAAAGAGAAGGAAAAACAAGTAAGAGGTTCCATATATATATATATATATATATATATATATATATATATATATATATATATATATATATATATATATATATATATATAAATAAAACATATAAACACAAATTGGATCACATCATAAAGATACCTTATTATCAACAACCTGGGCAACTTTTAAGTATCTGCTCCAAGTTTCATGAGAATTTTTTCGATTTTTATGCTGATGAAAAGCAATAAAAAAGAAAAAAATATTTTATTTGAAATAAAAATTGTATGCGTTAGGGGTTGCATATTTCCTAATAAAATTCAAACGTCCCTTTGCAAGAGTATAATAAAAAGCCTGGCAAACAGCTTTACTCTCAAGATGTGTGTGTGTGCGTGTGTGCTTGTGTGTGTGTGTGTGTGTGTGTGTGTGTGTGTGTGAATGTGTGCGTGAGCTACAGCTTAAAAAGTAGGCAACATTTTTGTATGTTTGTAAATGCAGCTGAGGGAAATTTAAAGAAAATATGTCACACTCCTTCTGCCAACAGCTTTCCCTCCCGCCAACTGAGATGACATTGTGCCGAAACGGAAATTACATTTTCGTCTGTCGTGGTAGGGGGTACTTCCCCTGAAATAGCCCCAGGAAGTCTCAGTGACCTGTGCAGAAGATTCGACGTTACACTTTCCGGATTATTATGTGCATTATATTATGGAAAGAGACATCTCCGACCCCATTAAGTACGTGTATTTTAGATCAGCATCAACAGCCGAGTTGATATAGCCAGGTCATACAGAAACACGCAGTTCTATGCGAACAAGTCTCTCAGCCTTAAAGCTATCGTCTTAAAACTTGGCATTAGTCGTAACCGGATCGGACCTCTATATCATATAGCTGCTATCTAGCTTCTTGTATACAAAACATTTTTGTTTTATCAAGATATCTTATCTTATCAACATCGGATAACTTAATCATACAGCTGGCATGAAAACGATCTCCGGAAAATTTTGTTTTGATATGGAAACCTTTTTTATACCCTGAACCCTTTAAAAATATGTATAAGGGTATATTGTATTTGTGCAAAATCCAAATGTATGTAACAGGCAGAAGGAAGCATCTCCGACCCCATAAAGTATATATATTCTTGATCAGCACCAATAGCCGAGTCGATCTAGCCATGTCCGTCTGTCTGTCTGTCCGTCCGTCTGTCTGTCCGTCCGTCCGTCCGTCCGTCTGTCTTTCTGTCCGTATGTATGAACGCAAGGATCTCAGAACCTATAAGAGCTAGAGACTTTAAATTTTAGACGTAGGTGCTCCTAGTACCTGCGCAGATCGAGTTTGTTTCCGATAATCGATAACTTACTCCGTTTTCCAATCGATATCGATATCCTGTTTTTTGGGCAATTTTCTTCCAAATAACATCGGTGGAAATAGGATCTAAAATAGCAAAATATTATTTCCAACGAACTCTAAACTCACATATTTGTAAAAGCGAAATGTCTAACGTACAAGGGTAATAAATCAAATATCCTTACTTTCTCGTTTTAGAAATAATTTTAAACACATGTAATTACTTTATAAAGGAACTAAATAATTTAATTTACATCTTAAAAATACTAAATAAAAATAAATTTGTTTATTTATAAAATGTCGCTAAAATATAATGATAATCTATTTTTCTCAATATAATCTCTCTCTACAGATTATTCCAAACACTATACAAAATATGAAAACTATTTTTCTCAATATAATCTCTCTCTACAGATTATTCCAAACACTATACAAAATATGAAAACGAGAAAAGCCTTTGACTTCTTTAAAACAAAGTTGCCTGGGAATCCAACTTAAAAGCAGCATGAAACAATTACAGAAAATACAAAGCAAATACTAGCAGAAACCCACCAAAATTTCGGGTGTATTCAATCAGGTGCTCTTGTTATGGGTGAACTAAAGAGCAGAGGGTTTGGTTGAGTTGTCAAGCCAAGCACTAATTGAGCGGAGAGTTGGATTATAATGGACAGCATTGATATAGCGTCGCTCTCCCCGGAGCAGCGCGAGGAGAACAGCATTAGGTTGAACGCCATTGAGAGCATCGAGGAAATCTATAAGACCTACAAGCCCCTGGAGTCCGAGCTGCGCGCCTCTTCCACGACCACCCTAAAAGAAGGCAATAAACAGAACTCTGGGGAAAGTGAGGAGTCCATTGGACCAGAGTACATATCAACTAACACGGATTCCTTAAAAACGCCAGCTTTGGTAGGTGACATAGAGAACACAGAAAATGAAGAAAAATCAGAAACTGTAGAAGACTCTTCGAAATCGGAAGACCCGGAAGAGCTTCCGGGGAATTTAGAATTTAAAAAGCAAGTCATCTAAGATATAATTTTGATTAAAGCACTTTTATTGATGGATTGTTCTTACAGCTCCGATTTTCGTATATCTTCCGGTGAAATAAAAACAGAGTCCCATCAGAAAAATGCCGAAAAGGATCAGGGTGCCACCAAAAGTAAAGGTGAGTTTGCAATTCAATCCGAGCCATACATTTGGCTTAGAAAGGGATAGTTAAAAATCCTGAAATTTTCAGTTTATTCTTGGCTCAAAAACAAATACGAAAATAATCACTGGCTGATTATTTTTCAGTATTTCAGATAAATGTATTATGTTATGTTAATTTAACTTTAGACTAAATTAATTTAATCTAAAGTTAAATAAAGTTGTAATTTTTTGGTAAAAAGAATCCCGGATCCAGTTACAATTCTGAATTGTAATATTTCTTCTAGCCAGAGCTCAATATATATTATTATATTATATTATTATATTTTATATTACTTCTTTCGCAGATGGTTCCGGCATAAGAGATCCAATCCCATCAAAGAACAGCTCAAAATTTAATGCACAGAGCGGCGGACAGGAAGGAATGGCCGCTAATGGGTTCTGTGCACAGCAAATGGGAATGCAAATGGGAACGGGAATGGGTATGGATATGGGTATGGGCGTGGGCATGGGCATGGGTACGGGCATGGATATGGGTATGGGAATGGGAACGTTACCTGGAATGGGAATGGGAATGGGCATGGGCATGGGTACGGGTACGGCTATGGGCACGGGCATGGATATGGGTATGGGCATGGGAATGTTACCAGGCATGAGCATGGGCATGGGTACGGGTACGGGCACGGGCACGAGCATGGGAACGGGCACGGGCATGGATATGGGAGTGGGCATGTTACAGGGAATGGGCATGGGCATGACAATGCCTGAAGGCAGCCTTAACTATTGTGGGTATAACCTGGCACAGCCATCAGCAGAGGGATCTTATCAATACCAAATGCCCGAGGCAGACTACTTGAAGTACGCCCAGTTGCAGTCACAGTCATATCCCGGCATGGAGAACTATATGCAGTTCCAGCCGCAGCCGCTGCAACAATATCTGAAGGCTCAGATTCAACAGATGCAACAGCAGCAACAGCAGCAAAAGCCACAGGCACAGCGACAGCCACAGTCTGGAGGCGGGGTTAATAATACCTTTGATTCGTGCACATCGAGCAGCTATTGTACTGAATGCAACACGAGCGACTGCCTGCCAGAGAATTCATCCTGTTGCAGTGCATCGATGGAATGCTGCGTCAGACCTGACAAGCCGGAGGACAGGTCAACGGAAAGCGGCTCCTGCGATACGCGAACTACGGATTGGAGCAGCCTGGAGCAGCAAAGCAGCGAGATGTCCGAGTGCATGGACGTGCGACAGTGTCAAGTGGCCCACAAGGCGGCCCGGAATGGCAACAGCGGCAATCCGCAGTGCAAAGCCACGTGCCATGGCGGACTGTGTCAGTTGAACGCCTGCGACATGTCCGGCTCGACCACGTCCAGCGACTGCGCCATGGAGTACTGTACTTATGGCCAAAATGGCAGCTGCCCCATGCCCGCAGGCATGCCGGGCGGGGCATGTGGTGTTCAAAACAACATGAACATGTCCTGTCCACTGGCCTCCGCCGACTGCATGCAAGCGCTCTGTGCACCGCCTACCTCGTGCTATCAGATGCCATGCTGCCCGCAACAGGGGGCTTCATGCGATCAGATGCCCTGCTGCTCACCCTACCCTCAGAGCGGTGTCTGCGCCAACAACTGCTTGGATATTGAGTCCTTCATACAGAAGTTTCGATCAACGCAGACACAGTGCTTGCCCAATTGCCTAACTGCTCCATCGCCGCCTTGCCTTGGCTTGGGCATGGGCATGGGCATGGGCATGGGCATGGGCATGGGCATGGGCACGAGCTGTGGCCCCGGTCCCAGCTGTTGCCCAAGTCCCGGCTGTGGCCCCAGTCCCGGCTGTGGCCCCAGTCCCGGCTGTGGCCCCAGTCCCAGCTGTGGGCCCAGTCCCAGCTGTGGGCCCAGTCCCAGTTGTGGGCCCAGTCCCAGTTGTGGGCCCAGTCCCAGTTGTGGGCCCAGTCCCAGCTGTGGGCCCTGTCCCAGCTACTCTACCAGAATGGAGCCCATCTGTTCTGGTAATGACTCGCTGCTGCCGCAAACCGTTTACTCCGCCGACTACAAGCCAGTCTGTGCACCTGGCAACAACTTCAATCACTTTCCCAAATGCGAGACTTGCGGCGGCTGCGGCAGCTGCAGCGGCTGTGGCACCTGCAGCAACTGCCTGAGCAGCCCCCCTCCCGTGTGGTAAGCACCGTTTGTTTCTTGACGAGCACCGATCATTAAATCTTCCTGCACACTTTCCAGCTACCCGGCTCCGCCATGCATGATGCCACAGCCAGGCTGTGGCTTTGAGATGCCCTGTGCCAACAATTGCATGCTGCCACCGAATGCCTACTACGGCTCGTCCAGGCCTATGCCCTGTGCCTACCCCTATTCAGCACCTTGTCCAGCACAGTTCACTCAACCGTGTCGAGCCCAATATACTCAATCGTGCCCTGGACAATACACTCAATCGTGTCCTGCACAATTCTCTGCAACGTGCCCGGCACAATTCCCTGGATCTTGCCCTGCAGCTTTCGAGGCGCCAGTAGATGCTGGCTGCGGGGGACCGCCCCTCTGCAATGTTTCCTCACAGGCAACCAGCTGCAACCTTAGCCAATATTCGTGTAAGTGAAGGAAACCCAATTCCAAATTAATCAACCTATCGTAAATGCCGAATCTTTACAGCGTGTATCTAGGACTTGTGGAATCTAAGCCTCTGCCCAATTGCTCAAAATATATATTTCAATAAAATAAGCTGCTGAAAATATACAAAAGCTTTGCTTAAACTAATCATATAATAAACTAACGATTCCAAACTGCAAATTAGTTTTTTATAATATGCGTGCATTCATTAGAATAAGTTTCGATCGGGTGTGGAATACGCCTACACTTATCAGGAAAATATAATAATATGCATGGGTAAAATATATTTCTAACAATCATAAGATCATAATCATAATCATGATTTCAACATCGCTCTAAAACCTAAGCTTTAAGGATACATAGAATTTTTCTGCGAGTAATCAATCAGATAACATGCATTGTAATTTTGCCAGGCATCTACATGCGTAGAGCTCGAACCTTCAGCTTGTTATTGGGAAGTCTAGTTTTGCAGAGCTATTTACAATATTCAGCTTTATCTCTCTTTTTTAATCAATTCATGCCAAAAAGATATTTTGTTGGGAGTGCTCAAAGGCCTAATACTAATTTGATCAGAAAATGCTTAATGCAGGGCCGAGCTGTCCTCTATCCCATGTTTAGCCGAGCAGCCCTTCTCTTTGTGAAGTTCTTTTCTCGAAAACCTATTTGTTTTCTTAAAAAATATCAAACTTACCGATTACGTCTTCATCTACAATATTTCTGCGAGGGTATCCAGAAATCGCAGTTCCTCTGTTGCAATTTACGGAATACATCTATAACTATTTAATAAGTCTTAATAAAATTATAATTAACTACCTATATAGATATATTTTTATTGAAATTCCTTCTATTAAGTGCAAACTAATACACGTGTCCTCTCCATTTGGGGCGGCATTCATTTAAACCGTGAACCAAATCAACGAAAAAGTTTGTTGGGACAAAGAGGAATGAGGAAATTCTTGCCCCATTTGCATTTCACTCGTTAGAAACTTCCTGCGCAGTCTGCATAAATTTTAATAAATTTTCAATTTATCGAACTACAAAATCCCATTGCTGCAAACATAAATTTGCTTGCACAGGCTCATAAATTCGGGCTGTATTTTTTGTAGTCTCAGCTGTGTTAAACATTTAATCTGCTATATCAATAAAAACCTGGTAATATTTCGTTAATCGAATTATTCTTGGTTTGACTTAAGAAAAAGAAACATGAATTGTTAATTGTTTTTATATGTAGAGGTTTTTTTGAAAAAATGTTTATTACAAAATATTGCATTGACAATTAAAAATGTTTAATTGTTGTTTCACTTGAATTTCAGTTATTACAATTATTAAAAAAATGAAATTAAATATTTACTATGGATGAGTAGTTGAAAAAAGTAGCAACAAAGCACACAAACAAGCGCTAGAACTAAGCTCACATGAGCTCAAAAATAATTTTGAATTTCAAATATTAATTTCATAGCGCAACTTTACCTATTTAAGCAAATAACCTAAATAGTAAAATTTCTAAATAGCATATGCTGCAAAACTAAAATAGAACATTTCAAAATGTATTTACAAAATGATTTGGCGGCTTTTCTTGTCGCTTTCAGCTGCTACAATTTTCGGTTGTTGTGGACAAACTATAAATTAATTTTGATTTGATTATCATTTTACAATTGCATTTAACTATGGTATATGGTATATTGATATTTTGTTAGACCATTCATTAAATTAACATTTAACTATTTGCATTTACTTTAGGTTTACAATTTACGCTTCTCCACGAGGCCAGGCAACAGTCGAAATATTTTGTGAATTTCAAAAGCCTCTGCTGTGGACAAATGCAGATGGCATATATAAAAAACTGCACGAACAATATAATTTGGATACTGTGATAGCGGATACTTAATCTCATCTTTTAGTTTATCATTTTTTAATAACACTTCAATCACAGGTCAATACTGAGGACATATTCCTCACCTGGCCAATTGTGCGGATCAACTATTTAATGTTTAGGTTTCTGTTGTTTTTGTTGTTGTTGTGTATTTCACTTTGAAATTATTGGAATTATGTAACGTTTCGTTTTTTTTTGCTTGCGATTTGCTGGTGGGGCTGGAAGTTTTATAGTTAACGTACACACACATATAGACATTATATATATATGCAGGCTATATAATCTAGGTTTGTTTATGCGTTGACAATTAAAAATATAACTGTATGTAATTTAAATGTTTTAAATCCTGTTACAGGATTTGCTTCAGCTATTAAGTAAAATTACAATAAAACAAAGTACATGTGCGCACATATGCACACACGCATATATGCACACACACATCTATATATATTATATATAAATATATATATATATAATATTAAAACATTAATTAAAGAATACAAAATACAATTCAAATACGAATACAGATACAAATATTCATATGTGGTTTATCAGTATGTGTAATGACAAAAGTATAAATTTGATTTATGTAGTTTGTTTTTGTTTCTGTTTTTGTGTGTTTTTTTTTTTGTTTGTTTGTTTATGTTTTTTATGCAACAAATAGCATCACTGGAATAGTTTTTGCCACGCCCTGCCACATTGAGGCGGCAATTGAATCGAGTGGTCTTTTCTTCTATAGTTTTCCATTTTCTGTATTTTCCTGCCGGCCATTTGAGGCCTCTCTCTCTCTATATATATATATATATAGTTTTATATATATATATATATATGTATATATGTACATCGATATATCGATATATAAGTAGACATGTGAAATTGCACTAAAACTAAATGCTACAACATTTAAAAATGGATTTCTCGTTCACGTTTTATATATGAAGTTCGAAAATCTAGCAGCTCTCATTTAAACCAATTTCGGTTTTGGCATTTTATTTAAAAAATATTCTTTAATTTTCGATTTACTCGTCGCTTTCAATACACAATATATGCATTTAAAAAACATTAGCTGCTATATTTCATGTTGTTTTTTTTTTGTATTTTTTTTTGTGGTTTTTTGTTTTGTTTGATTACTTGAACTAAACATTAGAATTTGATTTTGCATTTTAATATTTAAGTTAAATAAATTTCTTAGTCTTTTCATTTTCCATGTGTGCTTTAGTTACTATACATAATCCATATATATGTATACATAGCAAAAACTTTATATAATTTAATGAACTTAAGCCGCACAACAACAACAACAACAAACGCACATACAACAATTTTTGCATACACAATATACAGATATATGTTTTTCAAAAATTTGGCAATTTCGCGCTGGGTTTTAATGCTCTTCTCTTTAAAGGCTATCAATTTTGTTGCTGTTGCTGCTCGTTATAGTTGTTGTTGTTGTTGATGTTGTCGTTGTTGTTGTTGCTGTGTTGGCGGTAGGTTCATCTTTTAGGCACATGTTTTCCAGAGCTTACACATAGAGCACTTAGAGCTACGCATAGACATACTAATACTAATCATATAAAACTTTTATGTCCGCCTTAACCCCAACAATGGCGCCGACAGCGTTCCATGGCCCACAACATTTGTCAATGCTCTCCGCGCAGCAGTTCCATCAGCAAATTGAAATCTGCGCCATCGCGCGTCTTGATCGTCAGCATCTCCTTGGCCAGCTACAGCAGGAGAGAGAAACAGAGACAGAGAGATATAGATTTCAAGTTGAACATCTTTAAGATACAATTACTTACCTGACACGTGCGCTGCAGATCGGGTATGCGCAGCAGCAGCTCCCCGAATTTGGACGGCGTATCGGGATAATGGGCCAACGTGTAGGCCTGCAGGCCCTGCAGCGCCTTCTCCTGGCACTCGCGCACCTTGACCGCCTCGTGCAACTCCGTGGTATCTGCAGGTATATACAAGGAATGTTATTAGAAAGCGCCCTTTGGAGCAGCGTAGAGGCAACTACTCACCGGACTGCAGCAGCACGATTACCTTCATGGCAACGTATTCGTAACGATCAACGCGCAGGCGCCGCAAATGATCCGTCAGATTCAACATGCGTTCAATGCAGGCCTGCAAAGAGTCAATTATGAGTGTGAGTTAAAAGTTTGTTTAAATAATAATGTATCTAACATAATTAACCGTATTTAATTGACGAAAACAACAGACTCTTAACAATATTTAAGCAATAACCAGATTTCTCTTAGGTTGTAAATTCAATAATTAATAGTATTATAAAAATTATAATGTATCCTAATTAAAGCCACATGCTAATTGATCGGATTCAGTATTATAAATTTATTGTCTCTTATATATAAGGGACACGTTTGAAAAATAGGCGGAAGACTATGATTGCAACTTTTTTATTTTGTATATATATCGACTACTAATATTTGTCTGGCAATATGATCTTGTATATATATTAGCCTACATGACCCTAAAAACTTTTTCTATAAAAAGCAAAAGTTGGTCATATTCCAACTTGACTCTAGCCACACTTTGCCAGCTGCATAGCTCACCTGTAAGCCATTGGTTTTGGCCTGCGCCAGGGTAATCTTGCGGCCCTGCGACATCTTGATCTCGCCGGGCGTATCAATGGAACGAAAACAGCAGGAGAAGAGCAGCAGTTCACACCACGAATTGATGAGCAGGCAGATCTGATCGTCAATCTGGAAGAGGTTAAATCGATTTTGTTAACAACAAATGTGCACAGTCTGATATCCGATAGATACTCACCGAGATATTCTTAAAGAGCGGCAAACTCTTGCACCATTTGACGATCTTGTAGAGGCGATGATCCGCCACGTTGCAGAGGTGGGCAATCAGATCGGGATTGGCGTTCTCGCCATTGGACGAGAGACCAGCACTGGCCAGCAGTGGATTGGTCATCTGTTGTGCATTGCCAGCTGGCTGTCCGGCGGTGCTCGAACCGCCCGCGGCGCTCGACGAACTGCCGCCAGATGCAAATGAGGACAGCGGCTGATTAATGCGCGCCAGTTCCGTATCAGTATATTGCCAGAGATGTTCAACATCCATGATTTCCTGGCGGGTGAGAAAACAAAGAAGATTATTAGATGTGTCAGTTACAGATGATCTCCAAAGAAATCAAGGAACTAGGTGTCTGAAGCAGACGAATTGCTTAACTGAATTCCCAGATGGTCATGTTTAGTAATAGATCGTACTATAATTGGGCCTCTGAGCCTTATGGCCAAATCTCAGGCTCCTTCTAGCTAAAATACAATCCCAAACGGGCATATAATCTCCTACTCTTTAACAATAATAGAATAATGGGGGATGACAGAACTAAAAACGGCCACTCGACCATCGTTCGTATAAGGAAGAGAACATTTTTCTCTGTCATTGCTGTGAGGACACGAAGAGCAGGCGCAAAGCATCCAACATGTCCTGTGAGTCAGTTCTGCACTTGGGAGAAACCGAAGCCGAATGAACTGAGAAGCATGTTATCCACCTCGAGACCGAACGCCTACGGTTATTTGTTTAACAATAAATTCAAGAGCGGAGGATTAATGGCAAAGGCATGAGCTTTACCTAGAATCTTGTTATCGTAAGCTCCAAAGGAAGGAATTAAATCTATTAAAACATTCGATATCAGGTGTCAGATGAGAGAAAGAAACTGAGAGGCAAATCTAAAACTCTATTTTTCGATGCGCTATCTCAATCATAACTTTCCCTAACAAAATTTATTAAAAACTGTTTGCCTTGCGCGATTGACTGATTGACTGATTGATGATCAATGTAATGGCCAAATCGTAAGATGTAAGAGTCTGAATTTGTGAGTACAGTTGGAAATTTCTGCCTGGAACTGTGGAAAGTTGGTGGTAACAGTTGGAAGAAATTCAATCCGATTGGAATTTCAGTGTGAAAATGTATTTAAGAGATGTTTCACACATCTTTCGGAAAAACTATCTGCTATTTCTGAATAGGAAACTTCGGATCTAACAAATCCAACAGCCTGGCCAAGGCACAGCCAGGTACTTCCCACACCTTCCCCAACTGTGATCAACCCTCAATGTTGCTTACCTGTAGCAGGGCTGGAATGCTTGAGGCTCGCGATGTCGTGTGATGATTGAGGGACTCCGTTTGCTCCGTCTTGATGGATGCGCCGAGGCTGGGACTCGCCGGCAGCGAATTGGAGCCGCCGCCAAAGCCATTGAGTGGGCCATGCTGTTGTTGTTGCTGCTGATGCTGTTGCTGCTGCTGCTGCTGTTGTTGTTGTTGTTGTTGATGGTGTTGTTGTAGACGCTGCTGCTGCTGTTGTTGCTGCTGCTGCTGCTGCTGACTGACAACGGCGGCGGCCTGATCGGGACTGAGCAGGGGGCTGAGCATTGAATTGGGCAGCGTGTAGGAGCATTGATAGGTGGAGCGACCGCCGCGTGTGCGATCCTCGCGTATGGCCTCCAGTTTCATGCCCTTCTGCAGGCACTTCTCGAAGCGGCAGGCGGGGCACTTCTTGCGCGTCGAGATGCTCACCTGGCAGGGACCGCCGCGCACGCATACATAGTTCTTGCGATTCTGTACGGTGCGCTTGAAAAAGCCCTTGCACGACTCGCACGAGAAGATGCCGTAGTGGAAGCCGCTGATCTTGTCGCCACAAATCGGGCACGGCGAATTGATGAGCTGCTGCCGCGAGATGCCCGCCGGCGAGGCCGGCAGCGTGGCAATCGCATCCAGGGCACCGCCGCCGCCGCCGCCTCCGCTGCTGCTGCTGCCATCCATGCTGAGATTTTGCGCTTCCTGTCCGGCAACGGTTGCGTCCACATTCAGCGGCGGATACAGCACGCTATGATGATGCAGTCCGCCGCCGCCGCCATTGGCATGGCCGGGAAAGAGAGCGGCACCCGCGGGCGGCGCATGGCGCGCCTGGATGGGCGAGTGCGTCGGACTGAATTCGGAGCTGTAGCTATAGCAGCTGCTGTGCGAGGCGTCGCTGTTGTTACGGCTCAGCGATGGTGTGTAGGGGGCATGGCGCGAGGTCAGCGGCGATTGGGAGGGGCTGCTGTGCGTGTAGACGGAATGTATGGCAGAGTCGGGACTGGGATTGGCGGGCAACAGCGGCAGATGGCCGCCGCTGCTCGACTTGCTGCGATCGCACAGCGCAGACGCCGGCTCGTACTTCAGATTGATGGGATCACTTTGGGTGGGCGCCAGCTTCAGCTTGTTGGGCCCAAAGCTCTGCTGCAGCAGCTGCTGCTGCTGCTGCTTGATGGGTTGCAGCTGGAGCTGGAGCTGCTGCTGCTGCTGATGCTGCTGCTGCATCTCGCCGGCTATGTGCTCCAGTTCAGTTTTGATCGGCTGCAGCATCGCGTTCACTTGGCGGCCTGCCAATGTGATGCTGGTGGCTCCGCTGCTGGCCTCGCTCTTGACCACCGTCTCCGTTTCCATAAGCTCCTCGTCCGGCGCCTCGCCGCCGTTCGTCTCGGCGTCGCTGAGTTCACCCTCCCAGGACATGGGTCGCGGTCCGTTCTTGTCGGCTGCCCGTCGGCGCACCTTCAGATTCTCAATGTTGGCCAGCTCCGCCTCCGAGTCGGACTCATCCTCGTCCTTGCCGCCGCCGCCCAGCGGTATGCGCAGGCTGCTGCTGCTGTTGCCCCCGCTATGATTGTGATTGTGATTATGATTATGATTATTGTAGTTTGCTATAACCGGCACCAGGTTGCCATTCGGCGTGGGCAGCTCCTCCACCTCGCACTTGATGTTCGTCACGGACACATTGTGGCGCACAGTGGGCGCCGCTGTCGTTGTGGACATGTTCACCGGCAGCTGATAGCTGCAGCCGGTGGCACCGGGTGACGCGCTCTGCTCCGTCTTTATGCTCGACATGTTGGGCATCTTGGCGCTCCGTGTGGGCGTGTGTCTGTAGCAATTGCCCAATGCAATTCGAATCACAATATACTCTAATATTTACTTGTGCAATTTGTAGAAATTTGAAAGATGTCGTTGATGCAGTTCCATTGTGTTGTAAATCTGTAACAAGCAAATGGAAATAAATTAATATGAATATTGTATAAGAATTGGCGGTCTTTATAATACTTATAAGCATTTCACAACACTGTCTCTCACTAATAAGAAGCTACTGCACACTGCGCGCCAAATTAAAATATAAAAACTCGTAAATCATAAGAATACAAAATAAATGCAAATTTTATTTGAAAATCAACTTCCTCAATCAATCACTCAATCAGTCAGTCCAGGCACAGTTGTACATAGATATCTGCGACTCATCTAACGTTTATCTGTCTCTCTCTCTCGCCCTCTTCAATAGAGACCCCAGCTCCACACACACATGAATCACATTTCCCAATAAAAAAACATTTTTGTAAACATAAAAGAGAGATTCGGCATAGAGAAAAGCAGAGTACATATTCTCTCCTTCAACTGATTATAAAGTTTGCATACAAATTGCGTTGCTATCCGAAATATTACTCATAAGCCAAGCCAATAGAAAATTTCTGACATATTCGGCCCCTCCCCAAAGACGACGGCCTTGGCCTCTGCATGGAACTAAGGCAGGCGAGTTATGCTAATTGGAACTGCGAAATGTGTCCTACACACACACACACAGACGCATTACACTGTCCAGCGTGAGGCGCAACTTTTGTTATCAGCTTGTTGCGAACGCGAACAATAGCTTAAAGCAACCGCACAACAATAGAGCCAGTCGACGAAAAATGTCAACGACCTTAAAGCGAAAGAGGCGAAAAAGCCGATGGAATATTATAATAAATTTAAGGTACATTAACCTAAAACGAACGGGCGGCGGGCAGCTGGAATTGGTTTGGTTTATGCTGTGGGAAGGGCGCGGCCGAGCGAGTCCAACAAAGGGCATTGCCAGGAACGGACAATGGTGACAGTGAGTGCAGGGCGTGCAAGTGAATGGCCAATGGGCAAATGCTTTTCACTTTTTGGCATATTACTTTTGAGTGCATTAATAAATTGAATGCAGCTGACGACGACGACGACCTCTAATGGGCATCTTTTGTTTAGCCGGTACAACAACCCGAACGCAGCAGCGGAGGCCAAGACGCCAACCGGCAACTGAAAAGAGAGTACACGCAAAAGCGAGAGAGCGTGAGCAAGCACGAGCGCAGAATGGGCAAAGGACGACCTTCAAATAATGTTGAAATTTGTACGCAAACGACCTTGTATACAACAACAACGAGAGACGACGAAGCAACCACGAAGAAGACGCAGCGACGACGGCGCCGGCGACGACAGCGAAAACGAAGCAGGGCAGCCCAATGTTCACACAACACACTCACACACACACACATACACACACTCACAAGACGCAACACATGCGCGGGCAACGACAGCGCGGGTGAGCCGTTGTCGTTAAGAGCAGAGAGCTCAAAAGCATGCGACGAGGGAAAGAACAAAAAATACTCGTAGGCATCAGCAGACGGGGGTGTGCGGTGAGCGCTTGTGTGTGTGTGTGAGTGTGTGTGTAGCACAAAAGAAAATAAACAAAAATTTTGATATCAAGAGCGCCTCTCTGTGAGTTGCGCGGCGAGCAAGCAATCAAGAATAATTCTCATTACTAAAGTTGTGTGGGTGCCGAGAGGTCACACCGAGAGAGCAGGCAGCCCGAAATGCTGACCAAGCAGAGAGCGTGTGTTTGAAATATCGTGAGAGGGGCAGAGAGAGAAGAGCACGAAGTGGTCAGATGTTGTTGTGTTTTTTTTAAGGGAAATACACTCACACATTCATATTTACGTATGAGCGTCTACATGGGAGCCAACAAATGCAGCCAAGCGATTTGATGTCGGCTTGTTTCTGGTTATAAGTACAGACACACAAACATACACACGACACACGCTTTCCGATAGAACTGTACCTTGTTAAACAAAGAGGGAGCCATCGATTGGGCGGAAGTGTTTTATGTAACGGTCAGTGGCCATTTAACTAAGTTGGGATTAACTTCTGATCATTGGCTCATGCGTTTTAACGACCTTCAACATTAAATGTAGAGAATTAATTCATTATACAAGTGCAGCAGCTACTAGATACATTTAAAAATTGTTATATAGGTATTTCTGTTAACCACAAAATTTGTCAACATTGCGCAGAAATTTGATGTAGTATTAGCACAAATAAAATCCCAATAAATAAATTAAAATCCCAATAAATATTTGAAATGTGTTACCCTACGTCATTTATGTTTTTTCCTCTCTCTATCTTTATCTGCCAGGCAAAACGTTCGATATCCAATTAGCTATATTCCAATCAGAATACACTATCAAAACAATATTTGAAATTACCAATTCTGTAACTCAGACTCTTTTCATATATTTATCTAGTTCTAAGCTTGGCTTTAAGCATTCCACACAATCGTATGACAATTACCGGCTTCGGGCTACCTTTCGATTCTGCCTGTCAAAGCGTTAGCCATATACTCAGACATGATCTAATTATGCTTATAACATACGTGTGTACATATATATTATTGTATGGGTATCTATGTATCTCTGTCAGCAGCTAGCTAGATAGCTGGAACAATGTCTGGTAGTATCTTTTAGCCATGACATATTGCGAGCAACAATTGCATGCCGAGAGATTTGACAAGCCCCTGAAAAAGCAAAAGCCAAAATCGCATACCGAAGCTGTGTTGCAGCTGGAATTGGACGGTTGCCAACGGTGGGAGAGGGGGGGCTATAAAAGTGGAGTTGCTGCAGTTGACCGAGAATCGTCTGTGCTAGGAATGTGCAACGGGTTGGGCAACGGTTGCCCCTGAGCTACGGGCGCCTTGTCTGCTGCTTATCGATTTTTATCAGCAAAAAAAATGCTTTTGACTTTGACAGGCCAGAAAGCAAAAAAAAAAGAAATAAGTAAGAGTGCGCCAGTCGGCAGTGCACGACTAGTAGAAACCCTGTAGTGCCCAGTGCCCAGTTGAAAGTTCCAATTGGAAATTCATTCTTTGATAACTTCGGTGAATATAGTCCGATCATTGTACGATTTGCAACGTTAAGATATGCCAACCACAAGCAGAAGGGTATATCTGGAAAACTTTGTCTTTAGTTTTCAAGTGGAACGGGGATATTCAGAAGTCTTAAATAAAGCTCGCGAGATCTTATAATTACTCCGAGCTATGCTTAAAAAATCGTATATAGATATATCGCATATATAGATAGCAAATGGAATGATATAGATGATATAGATATAGATAGCAAATGGAATGAGTTATTGAAAAAAGTGTTAACAGTCGTATAAATTTCGAAAATATATATGTATATCTAATTTCGAGTCTCTAGATCTTGCAGATCGTCTCGACTTTTGATGCTTTGATAATATCGTAGAAGCCCACATCCGCCTTTTACACACAGCCTTTATACTCTTTTTGCTCATTTTCAATGGGTTCAGGCTGAAACAAAAAAAAAAAACAGAGTACGAAAAAAAAAAAACAACTTCAGCTTGCCTTACAGCTCCTGCCAGACAAAAGGGGTTGACCTTCAGATAAGAGTGTTGTTTTTTTTTCTCTAGGGCTCCCGCTTGGTCGCCCCTTCCCATTTCTGGTGGAGTTGAATGCGGATCTGCCGCCGCCTAACAAAATGGCGACATGACTGTCGTCCCCATTGTCGTTTGTGTGGTAAATCCATGTCAATAATATTCACGACATTGACATGCTTTGCGGGGCGCAAGGCCCGCACGTCGGTCACAGGCACTGGGGGTTGAGCAGGAGTCAGGCCGAATGTTGGTGGTGGTTTGGCATTGACGTTAACGCTGACGTTAACGTTAACATTGACGTAGCTCGTACGCGTTTGGAGTTCTCTGTGCCCACTGAATGGGAAGTTCGTTTCAATTATGCGTTACATGAAAGCGTAAAGCGCATTTAGGGGGTTCTGTTTTGGGACCAGGGTGTAGGCTGTTCTAATTGGAGAAAATCGACCCTTTCTCGCCCCCCACACACACAAGCTAAACAGCGCAATTGTTTGGGGTTGAAAGGGCGTAAGGGAGAGAGCTCCCTTCCTTTGGTATACATATATACCCGTTGTAGGGTAACCAGGGAGCCAGATAATATCGTTATCTTGCGGGTGTTGAAAAGCTGTTGGAAATTAATTGGGGAAAAGTTAGACGAACAGAAGTGCTCCAGAGTATGCTCGCTATCCCTTTGGCTCAGGCACAAATACTTTTTGGCTAACATTGTCTAAGTACTTGCAAAATATTCACTTTAATGGATTATTCAAGTTACAGCAACGTTTTTTTCATATAAGCATAATGTAAGCTTAAAAGGTAGCAAGTTTATGATCTTAACTTAACTCTTGCGAATAAAATGTTTGGATTTCCGATTCAAACCAATTCGATTTATACCCGTTTTGCGGGCTTGGATATGGATATATATATTTCTGTATAATGTATAACGAGATCAACTCCATTCTGTTCGTCGAGATTCTCGTTGACATATCGATTAACAGGCTGGAACCAACCTCTGACTACTACTTTGATAACTTAGTCCCTTGGTTGCTGCACAGTTTGGGCCATAAGCTTACATAACTTGGCCCAGAGAGTGCAACAACGAATGCAATTGCTAGCTGGCTGTCTAATATTTTAGCACGCTTCAGACCCCAAAGACAACACACACACACATGCACAGCTCCAACACCTTTCGCCTGCAATTGCAAACAAAGGCACAGGCTTAGACATATGCCCGGGTCCGGACCATGTCGGGCTAGGCCAAGTCAGGCCAGGCCAGACCAGACCAGGCCAACACCAGCACCAACAATTGCAAATTGCAATTACATTGCCTGGCAACGGGCCACATTTTTCGCTTTTGATTAATCATCGGAGCATGCAGCTGTGCGGAGTATTTGTGTTTGTTTCTGTTTCTGTTTCGGATCGGGTCGGGTTGGATCGGAGCTGGCACGTCATTAGCATAATGTGCAACAGAAGTTGCCTATGGGAAATGGCAAACAAATTGCCAAAGCACCAACAACAGCAACAGCAACAAAATATTCGTTAAAGCCAACAGG